AAATTCAAATAGACCAATCAAATTCGAAATTTTTTAAATTTAAAATTTGAAAAATCATCGACATCAAAATTATTAAAAATTATATTAAATTAATAAATTGTAAAAACATATTCAAATGTATTATTTAATCTTTAATTAAACCTCATTTTTTAATTCTATTTTTAAGTTTGTTGTATATGATATTGGACACGAAATGCCAGAATTATTCATAATGGTTCTTCGATGATGACAGACGTGTTTAAGAAAATCAATAATGGCGAATGATCTATCCGAGATAAAAATAAGAATTTTACTTTCTCCTTCTATAAATAGACAATTCTGATTATTTTTAGCTTAATATTTTGAATTAAAAAAGTAATCGAATAAAAGAAAGAAAGATTTGTAAAAATTTTGTCATAGACATCTGTCCCACTTTTTTCATTAACAATCATTAAAGTTTTGCATCTGTTCCTAAGAGGTAGATTATGATAAAGCTTTCTAGAACTTGGCCATTGTTTGCAACTAATTTAAAGTAAGGAATCGCACATAAAAAATTCTTTGCATCAACATTTTAATGTTAAAAGTATTAAAGTTTCTATTGTTAATTCTGCATTGCTTCGGATTTTAATTTTAAAGCAGCAGCGATACATGCTTTGTACGATTCTTTAACAAAGAAGAGCCGAAGGCTCCATAAAAGCATTACAAAAGTGACAAGACAAGAAGGCTCTTTTCTATATACAGAGCTTTGTAAAGTAATGGTGCTTCAAGTTTCATATATTTAGTAGTTTAGAAAAGATTCTTTCCTTTAATTTTGTATCTAGTCTGTCTCCTCCATTCATTGAGTTTCTTTATGTTGATTATTGCACTTCCTCCATTCTTTTGTTCTCTATACACGTCAAGTTTCCCAATATCTTTCCGAGTTTCGTACTGAAACTGAATGACACATTCTACTGTATTTAGAAATGGTGGACGTATCCGTAATTGACAGTAAATATTAAATTTTTACGCTAAATTACTTACTAAATAAAACATAAGCCTCCACGATATTATAGTAATAAATTCTATTTATAAGCACACCGACACGATGGGAGGTTATTTATAACCGCTATTTTTGGTCATCGACATTTAGTATAACTATTGTATACCGAAAACGTTACCTTAGCAACATAGTTGACAATAACAAAAATCACATTTTGCGACTACAACAAGGATCGACCTTTCGAAATTTCCTGTCGAGTTACTGATTTAGTTCTGACGTCATTCTCTGCTTCCATCTCCTCTGCTATTTTTAGTAACCTACTGAATATGTTCCGATCCCCGTTATCTTTATTTTAAGTTTTCCTTACGTAATTTTTATGTTCCCATTAAACGAGTCTCCTATGGTTAATTCTCAGATAATAAGGTAGTCGGGTATGATCTGGTACAGTTCAGTAATTGGGTGTAATGCTCTGTCACCTAGATTACTTTCCCTGGTGGGGTGTTTCTCCTGTTTGCTACTTTAATTCAAATGTTTTGGGATTATAATACAGGAAGAATACTTGTTAAATTTGTGATGTTTAAAATGGGAATAAAATATATTTTTTGGAAAAATATATTTAAAGAAACGTCAGCATTTGTTACGTTCTGTAATAAACACTTAATTTTGTACCATATTTTATAATAAACAGAACACTTAAACAACTTTTATGTATATTTTACAAAAGGTTTAACCTTGCAATGAACATAAATCTAGAGTCCGTTACTGTGAAAGTTTCCTATTGGATAATTTACGTAATGTACAGTACAGGTACTTTAAATTTTTGTAAAACTCTTGAAGTTTCTAATTGGATAAACGTTCTAGAAATATTTAAAAGAACAAATCTAATTGGTTTAACGTTTTATTACTCGGTGTTACAGAAAAAATAAATAAATTTTTGTTGATTTAAAGGGATTTATTTTTTTCAGAACTTAATAACTTTCGATTTTAGAATTTTTTGTGGAAAGTTTTTCTGCCATAAAAATTTCTTTGTGCTAAAAAAATTATTGCAAAGATTGAAGAGAAGAGAAATTTCTTTTGAATCAAAGATAATAATTTAAAGAGAAAATATTTTTAGATTTTTTTTCTTTCTTTTGGAAATTTATTTTCCCGAAGAAACATATGTAAATTGTAAATTAATTAAGCGTATTTATCATCCTTAACAAACACGAAACGGTTTTATATTAATCTATTTTAGTTATTTTTAATTTATTGCTTGATAATAATTAATACGAATGTTTATTTTAGTGTCTGAATATTAATGAGAAAAGATTAAGGTTAATAACTTAAAAATAATTTCCTTATCGCTTGTACTTTTGATCTCATCACGAATGAATAATTAACAAAGCATGACTTTTCTACAATTAGAAAGTAAGAAAAAAAAAGAAAGTAAGTTCACTCTTGAATACTTTAAATATTTAAATTTATGCTGCCATCAATTCTCTCATTGGTTAAATTTCGCTTAAATTATTCTAATTGGCTACGATCATCTCGACGTCACGGTTTGTTATATATTTAAAACTGAGCTAAGCGCTTGTATTGGACAGTTCGAATATTTAAATTCAAATATCATTTCTCGATTGGGTAATTTAAATTGTTATCTCGTATGTTTTAATTTTTGTAACTTAATCGAATTAAAATTGAGAAAAATGATTTTAACGTTATTAAAATTAACAAAATGTAATTTAATATAATTTAAAGTGGGGTTGAATGATAAATTAACTTATAATTTATATGTAAATTATAAGTTTTGCTGTTAAAAGTTATTGGTTTCTAGGAAAAGTTTTGTACAAATGTATTTATTAGCGAAGTTTACTAAATTTGATTACTCTCATAATTAAATTACATCTCTTCTCGAGATTAGTAATAAGATTTTTGATCTTAAAAATTCTAGCGTGAACGAGGTATTTAATATTTAATCAACAATAAAGGCTTAATTGTGTCTATCAGAAAATTTTCAAGAGACAAAAACTGAAAATTATCACTTAAAATGTATAAATATAAATTGATTTTTGTATAATTAATTTAGAAATAGCTTTATCAAAAATTAAATCTGTTGTTAACGCCTGAAAACTTTTAGAAATAAAAAGGATTAAAGTGGAATGACCGTTGGTTAATTTTTAAGATATTTAAACATTTAACCAATCAAAACCTTTTACAGATATATTTAATCGCTGGCATTTAACCAATAAGTGAGCGCTTTTACTAAACGTCGTCAAACGTCAAATTTTAAATTTGAATTTTCAAATTAAATTACTAAACGTCGTTCATATCAATGGTGTCATTATATAATGTGATGTTTATTATAAAATAAAGGAAATTCTAGACAAAATAAAAATCAGCTTTAGTTCAATAAAAACTTTCAAAGTATTAAATTTTAAATTAATTTCTTCCCCGCTTTATTTTCCCAATGCCATCTAGGGGTAATTAAAATTACAATTTCTTTGAATTAAATGAAGAAAGTTTTAGAGTTTTAAGTAACGTTCGAACAATATAAATTGTATTTGAAATTTCACGAATGCTTTGGTTTTTTAGTTATAGGGCCAGCCTTAATAGTATATTTTTCAAGAATATTTTTGTTACCTTGGAAACATGGATATATTAAAACATGTAAAGTATTAAAACGAAGAAAATGCTGCATACATCCTCAAACATCAACAAACATCAGTAATAAATACATTTTTAAAAAATATTTTCAAAAATCTCCGCTGACGTCATACTCTCAAAAGCCAATAACACGAGATAAATTCAAATATTTGAATCTTGCCTGTAGCGTGATTGTCATTGACGTCATAAATACAAAAGCCAATAATATTAAATACATTTAAATGTATATGAATATAAACCCGTTCGTTTCGTATACTTTAACGTCAATTTGACGTCATCGCTTCGGTTTTACAATGAATAGTTTTAAAACTGACGTCGAATTAACGTAAGAATTTATACTTTCTTAATGAAACGATCCCATAGACTCCGTGACGTAATTTGTTTTAAAGCCAATGAGATGAGAGAAACTCAAAAATTTGAAAACATTCAATAGAATTCGAGCAAGACGTCAGACTCAATTTACGACGCTATTGGACGATTTAAATATTTAAATCGTAAATAAACAAATTGTTGTTTGAAGGCTTTTATTTTTAATTACACTAATTTTATGTATAATTGTTTTATTTTTATTATTTTTAGTAGTTTTCGAATTTTTAAAATGTTCAGCAGGGTATTTATAAAAATTCAAAGCATATATATTGGAGAAGTGAAAGAAGATACGAAACTTGATATGCTGTCAAATGTGTAAATTATACTTAATCCACTTTCCTTCTGGCTGCGGTAATGCCCATCAGGATATTAAATCAGTTCAGTATCGGTGACGTCAGACGTCGATATTGAACTCCGGTAATGACATCAAAAGGTGATATCATGGGATAATTGTTATCCAAAATCCCAAAATATCCATTTAATACCCATATTGATTAGCATTTTAAATATGAATGCAGCTTTCTAGCTTCAAAAGGGATTATGTAGGATTTATTCTTGTAATTTAGTGATT